CCTTGGAGACTGGTGAGGCGTGGGTCAGCCTGCTGCCTTTGGCTGTCCTTAGATTTAGGTATACCCATTATAGAGCAGGTTTTACTCCGTTGAAATTATGTTTGGAAGACCCCCTCCACTGGTCCCCAAAGTCAAAAGCTAGGTACTAGAATAATTTTCTAACCAGTCTCTGTTAAAATATCTCTAGTCTCTTCAACAGGTACAGAAAACTGTTCACTCCCATGTAGGAGCTTCTCAGCCCCTCTCAGCCTCCGCACCATGACATGTGTCAGTCCGGGGATGTTATCTTCATAAAGGGTTTTCAGGCTGAAGGACTGACTCTAGCCTAGAAGGGACCCTAACCAGTCTTACTCATATATCCTCACTCTAGAGGTTGTCAGAATCATTGTGTGGGTTCACAAATCGTATCTGAAGTGAGCAAAACTGTGGACTGCTTAACAGGAGCCTGATCTGTTAAGGCTAGTCTGATCGTGATTGTGACACGTATCCTTGTTGTCTTTGGGTGGACCAAGCTGAACTCCCAGAAGATTCAATGAGGAGAGTTGCACGCCTTTCTCCTCACCCCCTTTAGCTCAGTAGATATTCTAGTTAATGTCACTTTTGTTACCCTCTGCCTCAGGCAACCTCTCAGATTTCTACTGCCCTAACTGGGCCTGTGTAAAAATTGCCTCCTATTGTGTCACTAATGATATCATAGTTAGCAAACATGGGTGCGGAGTCAGATTCTGCGGCAAAGTCCCCTGGACTCTAAATTGGGATGGAATTGTGGATTCCACTTCTGGCTCCCTGGAGGACTAATTCTGACCCAGGGGAATCATTTCCATTCAGACCAGGTTGCTAAGCTGAGGCACAATACAGCAAGTAGCCTCTGGTAAGGTGATGTTTATGAGATCCTACTACAATCCCTCGTATAACCGCTTGCCTAATCGGGTCAATGCTTTGACATCACGCTGAGAGGAGTTGGGAATGTGACAGCCAGCCAGACACCAACTTGAGCCTCAATGCCATTTTGTACCTGAGCTTGGACAAAGGACCCGAAACCCCCACATCCCATTTGGCTGTGAACTTGCTACAGTTGCAGGATCGATTGTAGCTCACCCAGTGTGTGAAACTTCCTTGTGTCCCCCACTAACTTGGCGTGGTTCTGCTTCTGTAAGATTGCTCTTGCGCTCCCCTAAACCCTTCCTAACAGAAAGCATGATTTAAAAGGAGAAATCCAATGGAACCCCATTGCTGAGAGAACTTGCCAGGCACTAAAGCCTGGAAACGTGAAGAGTGGAAACAGAATGAAAGGAAAGAAAACAGAAGGAATAAAATTGTAAAGTAACTCCACAGCACCGTAGAATAGTCAATAACAAAGTAGTACTGAGATAGGAAAAACGTAAGGAGATTCATGTCAACGCTTTTTTAACAATAAGAACTTTAGGAGGCCCTTCATTAAGCAGCTCAAAGGCTCTTGGGAAGGATAACCTGAGTCTATGCAGGAATAGTAATGACAAAAGAAACAATGCAAAACCAAATGTGACAAACTTTAAATTTAATTGACTTCAATTTTATTTCATGTAATTTTAATTACTTTAAATTTAAAGGACAGAAGGAAAATAATGTTACTGCATCATGAAGTTAAGCCACATAGAAAAATAACATTTATGATAAAAATAACCAAGACTTGGGGAAAATTGATCAGTATTATTCAAGGGGTCTTTTGTTGTTGCTTGTTTAATAAGGGCTGCACGTATATTTTAATGGTACAGTGTTTGCCTATTGTTGTTCATGGCCTGGGCTCAATGCCAACCACCAAAAAAAAAGTTGCATGTAGATATTTGGTAGACATAATTATAATATGGGGTTCAAAAAGTCATTACTGAATGGAGAACAACAAATGTAATATCAAGAATAAAATAAAGATATCAGCAAGTCCTCCCATAAATTCAAGTGAAAAGTAAAATATATTACAAAAATATTCTGCTGATGAATGTAATGATTAAAAAGTAAAGCTCCTTAAAGATACATTAGAAGAAATATGTAATACGAGTATTGTCTACTTATAAATTAAAGTATTTTATGAAGAGCATTCAAATGAATACAATCTGCACAGTGGTTTTCCTTTGTAAAACAAATCCTCAGCTGTGCTTTACACTGAATATTGGATGAATTCCCTCTGATGCTGAGGGAGAAGATAACAGAGCCAAAGACAGGAGAACCCGAGCACCAAGTTACCTTCCAGAAACGGTTAACCCAAAAGTAATCTGAGCAACAGGGTGAGGATGAAACACGATAAATTCAGGTGGTAGCCATGGACACTGTTTTGTGTTGAGCGAGTCTGTTCCTGAAGGTTTCATCCACCAGGAAAACTGTTTCCTTATATGATTTCCCTGCCGTCATCACCCAGCATCTGATAAGTTATTCCTTCCTTTAACAAGTTCATTTTCTGTATCTCAGTTTATTCTTGTGTCTTTGAAGCTTTAGCCCCAATGCCAAGCACAGTCTCTTCTATTAGAAACTACAAAACATTAAACAGCACACACATTTAACTAACACCTGTTGTAGTAAAGTATAATAGCAGTCTTGCGTCTAACTATTAATTGTTAGGAGGCAAATCCAGGTGTTCATATTTTGATGTGCTGTATTAAAGGCTTTTTAAAAAATCATATTTATACTCCATAGTACACTGACCTGGAACTGTGAAAGAAGGCGTGAGATCTGACATTAATTCAGAGAAATACCTTCCATTATATGAGCTATGTAGTGATATTATTGCCGATAGGTAAGTTAATTAGATATCTTGTAAGAAATTAGACAGGGCCACCCTCAAGTAGCCAGCTCTCAGGGAGCCAACACAGAAAGGAGCCAACGTGGAGGACAATCAAGACACATTCACTGAAGTTCAGAATTGTAAAAGGAGAGAACCTTCTATACCCTGTGCTTCCCTGGGGATAAATAGCAGTGACTGATATTCTATAGAGGTATCAGTCACCCGGGTTGGGGGGGGCGAGGTCTTAACCCAGCCTTTCCAGGAAATGTCCTTGACCGCCACCCTTACTGAAAATCCTTGTATGCTTGCTCCCCCATTTGATCCTATTTAATATTCCCTGGGTGACTGTACTTGTAATCTTACTGGTTGGTCATGGTTTGGCCCCACCTCATGTGCACCTTGTAATTTTCCATTGGGTCTTACAGTTTTTCCCACTCTGTACCCGCCTCCCCACGTTGCTTGGCTGTGTAAAACATCTGTGAGAAGTGGGGTGGGTGAACAACCCACTTTCCAGTCCCCCTTCTGTCTGTTAGGCAAAAGCTTTCTTTCCTTCAATAAATTTTTCCTGCTCTTAACCTCCGATGTTCTTAGAATTCATTCTTCAGTTGTAGAGACCAGGAAGTCATGTTTCAGATATCTATAGGTTTGGGAGTTACATCTCTTTCCCTTATATCAATATGAGAAGTAAATGATGGGGCAAATGCAAATACTTTAAATGTTTCGTATGTCTAAGAGATTATATTATGATTATTTAACAACACAATATAAATGCTTTATACCCTATGGAAGAAGGAAAATAAAATAACACTAATTTAATTAACATTTAGGAATTTCATCAATTTAAATACTTTTTACCAAGTCACCTAATCTATTTACAGATTTGCAAACAAAAATCAATAGTATAAAACTTTTAATTCATAGACATACATAACAAATGAATTTAAGAAAAAAACACATCTTATAAATTTATCAAAGTGCTTTCAGAAAGAGTCTGAATATGGTTCATAAAAAGAAAACATGCTGGGCCGGGGATTTAGCTCAGTGGTTCTGGCTCCTGCTTTGCAAGCACAAGATGCTGAGTTTGATCCCCAGTAAAAGATATATGTGTATGTGTGAATGTGTGTGTGTGTGTGTGTGTGCGCGCGCTAGTCTTTCTGAATACAATTACACACATTATTGGATATAAAACTTTAAAGTAAAGAAAGCAGAAAATACCATACAAGATTTTACAGAAAAAAATTATTAAAAGTGTAGACATATTTATACTACTGATTTAGAAGAACAGACAAAGGAATGTCAATAATCAATAAAACATATTTCTTTTCTCTAATAATTGTTACTTTCCAAATTGTCTACAACATTAGGACATATTATTTTCCTATAAATTTATTTTTATTTATTTATTTTTTTGTACCAGGGACTGAACTCAGGTCCTTGGACTTGTGAGGCAGGCAGTGGAACCTCTGAACTAAATCCCTGACCCTCCTATAACTTCATTCTAAATCAATATTTATCTTTATTCTGTATCTAACATTGGGAACTCCTGGGTCCTATTTTTTCCTTTTTAGGTGTTATAGTTATATATTAAATTAAGAAAAAATTTAATAAAATATGAAGAAATATTATTCAAAAATATATTATGCAATAAATATCATATTATTGCAAGGCATCTGATGACAAAGGCTAATTAATATTCACTGTTATTTTCCTCAATGCTTTACAACCACCTTCTGACCTGACAGACATGGAATTATATATCTTGTGCAGCTGTCCATTCTGACTGTAAGAATATCAGTGAATTAGTGTGGGCTACACACTAGAAAGGTGTCCGAACTAGAATCTAAATGCTCAATTTTTAATTTTAAAGCCATGTATCACAACATTGGTTTATTAATCTATATTATAAGCAGAAAGACTAATGTAAAATTCTCTAAAATTAAGGATCTACGAATATGTTATTTTGTTGTTTTCAATATGACAAACATATTTTGTTGTTTTCCACATTAACTGCCTTTGTGTGGTCACATGTATGTACTCACAGATTAACGCATGTTTCATGGTTGCCAGATGAAATATAAATGTCTCAAAATATGGGCCTGGAAATGTGTACTGTCATGTATGATAAGGAAAGCATAGCTGGAGAGGAAGAAAAGAGTAAATAAAACCACAGCTTTTTATCAAAAACAGATCAAATAATTTCCCATTATAAAAAGGAAAAGACAAGTGGACACGTTTAGTACCATGATTATATTAACAGCCTGCAGCCCTCTCTCTTCTGCAGGATTCTAACAACAGCATTCTTCACCTCTTTGTCTCTGAGGCTGTAGATGAGGGGGTTCAGCATGGGGATCACAATCGTGTAAAACACAGAAGCCACCTGATCCCTTCCCAAGGAGTAGGACGTCTTCGGTTTTAGGTAAGTAAAGATGATAGTGCTGTAGAAGATGGTGACTCCCAGGAGGTGGGAGGCACAGGTGGAGAAGGCTTTCTTCTTTCCAGCAGTGGAATTAATTTTCAGGATAGTGGAGAGGATGGACAGATAGGATCCAGATATGAAAATGAGGGATAGTAGTACAGTGGATCCAGCACCAATGAGTATAATGAGCTCAACCTTATAAATGTCACTGCAGGACAGGGCAAAGATTGGGGATGAGTCACAGAAAAAGTGCTGGATCATATTGGACTTGCAAAAGTGCAGGTTGCTCATGAAAACAACAGTCATAGTGGAATCCACAAAGCCGATAACATAAGAGCCAGTGACCAGGGCATAGCACAGTCTTGATGACATAATGACTGGATAGTGCAGAGGGTTGCAGATAGCTACATAGCGATCATAGGCCATGGAGGAGAGAAGAAAGCATTCAGTGCCAGCCAAGAGGATAAAAAAGAACATCTGGGTGAAGCAGCCCAGGAAGGAGATGCTCTTGGTGGAAGTCAGTAAGTTGTGTAAGGTTTTAGGGGTGACGACACTTGAGTAGCTGAGGTCAAGAAAAGACAGGTGAGTGAGGAAAAAGTACATGGGGGTGTGCAGCTGGGGATCCAGGCGAATGATCAGTATCATCCCTGTGTTCCCCAGCACCGTGATCAGGTAAATCAGGAGGAAGAGCACAGAGAGGACCAGTTGTGTCTCTGCAGAGTCCGTCAGCCCCGTGAGTATGAAGCCAGGGACAGTGGTAGAGTTCCTGCTACTCATGATGATATGTTTTAAACAATGGAGAAATCAATTTCCATACTTAGCTTGAGTGACTAAAAACAGGTTTCATTTGTAGAGTGGTCCAGCACTTCTTTAATTAGTTTACTCTTCCTTCAAATTGACACAAATTTACTGATTATGAACAAAAAGTCCAATGTCAGATACAAAAGTATATGTTATGAATTGACATTTGCTTCTGACACGATAACCAATTATGCCCCATAGAGTTATCTTGAACATGATACAACTTAAATCTTCTCTTTTTTAATGCATTTCATCCACGTACAAATTTTATGTTATAGTCACTGTTATCCATAGATTTTTGAGAACACACAAGGGGCACAGAAAAGGACTTTCATGAAATCAGAGCAGTTACCTCTTATCACTGGAACTGTACTAACATATTTTAGAGGGTGAGTGAATGCTAAAATTTCTATATTACTTCTTGTAGCTTGATTTTGTAAATCTGAGCAAGTTATGTAATAAAGTATAAGGAAAATAAGCTCAGTTTACTTTTTATTCTCATTCAGTTCCCAGTCCTACTGGGCATTAATTTCAAATCAATTTCACATTTTCGTAAACTTAAGTGAGGTTCTCTAAGATTATACACTGCATATATTTAGAATTGCTGAACATGTCTATCAAAACAGAGTTTCAAAGAACTTTTTAAACATAAAGATATTTTTAAACATGGACTGCTGCTCCACATTTCTGTGCCAGGCTGTTTATACCTTTGGCCTTAGGAAGCCACTTTGCTCTAAAAGAGAAAAAACGAAAAACAAAAGCTAAGCTTTAGGGTTATATTTTGCTGTACTCATCACAATTCTATCGTCTTTCTGTTCTTCCTTTGAATGTATTACTATTACTTTGATAGGCTTTAAATGTCTCTGTATATGCATATTCTTATGATACAATCCCTATTTTATTTTATCTTTCTTTTAAAACACTTCAATTCTAAAAATGATACTTACCGTGAGTCAAGTTTGATGAAAGCAACTTTTTCCATAGTGCCTTTCTAGAGATTTGAAAATTATAATTTTATTTTCTGAAAGAAAATGTGATAAAAATTTAAGGACCTGAGACATTCTGTGATATTTCTTTTCTTTAATACAAATTACTTTTATATTTTTTGAAATGTCACTGTTATATTTTTGTGCATTCCTGTTTTTTAATTCTGAGGTAAATTCAATCACTCCAGCAGATTTGTCTGATCAAACAGACACTTAGCCAGGAAGTCTCCTCTGAGAAGAGTCCCAGCGAGCAAGTGTGCATTTAACCAGAACTCCGTGCACCCTGCTCCCTTGCCTGGTCCTTCCAGGGCCCATGAAGGAGCACACAGGGACCTGCAGGACATGGCCGTCTTCTGGGCCCAAATCCAAGGATGAACATTGGGCTTGAGGCCAAGGACCCATGTTCTAAGGGAAATGAGCAAAGGATTTTCCTTTTCCCTAGGAAGTTCCACAAGAGAGCAGAAATATGTTCTCTCATGATGCTCTAAGTTGTAGCTGAACTTTAATTGTTTCCTTTAAATTTGTCACACAATTATTTAAATTTGCAAAGGATAATGTTTACACCCGAGTGGTCTGTTAGCATTGTGTTTTGTTTTGTTGTGTTGTGTTTGTTGTTGTTGTTGACTAAGTGAATGTAGATGAAATTTCCAGGAACATATTTACTTTATGACTGACAATATCATGGATGGAATGATAAAATTTTCATCAGGAAATATGTTGTAATTAAAAGCCTGAATCTATAATAGGAGCATGGGAACCAGGGTGAGCAGCCAGCCTGATCAAAAACTCAGCACCAATAATGAATTTCAGAGAAGAAGTTTAAGAAGGAAAGATGATTTATTTATGGCAAGGAAGGAAAATAAAAAGATCAAACAAAAGTAAGCTGCCCTGGAGAGGACACAGGGACTTGAAAAAGATGGACAGGTGCAGGCTTTGTCCCTGGCCTCTTTGATCAGGTTAGGGACCCTCCTTCCCGGGCCAAGGCACATGGAGAGATCACAGTGTCTTTCCTAGCCTGTCTCTGGCTGGATCTCAGGTCCCAGGATCCTGAGCCTGGCACCCTTACCTACCTGCGTGCTCCTGTTGGGAGGTTTTGTTTGCCTTCTTCCTGACCTTTGCGATGGATAAGAAGGTGTGGGGTTGCAGGGAGATTTTAGGGTTAGTGAGAGGATGTGTGTACCTTAGGTAGCTGCCCCATCCATGTCCCCTCTGCATTTTACTGAAAGCAACAGAGCTCCTGCATTTGTTTCCTTTGTATAAAGAAATATAGAAATTGCCTGATATTTTCACTGTTACTGAAGACTTTCATTAACACAATGGCAGAAATAAGGCAGAACTTTAACGTATACAAAATACTCTGTAGAAACCATTTCCACAGGGTTTGATAAGTCATTTGCATTCATTACGACATGTAGGTTTTACGTACTTTGGGTTTCAGTTAATAGGATTCGCTGCCAAAAATGTAAGAGAAATGGAGGGTGGAGAGGAGAAAGGAGGACGGGAGTGAAGACGGGGAAAATGTTAGAGAGAGGGAGGGAGGAAGGGAGGAAGACAGCATGGCACAGACAGAGGTAGAGAGGAAGGAGGGAGGGAGGGAACGCGAAAGAAGAAGTGAAAGAAGGAGCGAACAAGAAACAGTGTAGCAGCAGCAGAACAGAGTGGATGGGGTCAGTTAGAAAAGGGCTGAGTTGAGGAACCGTTACACTTTCAAGATTCAGACGTGCACAGTGTGCTGGTAAATGTGGTGTTATACTTAGAAACGATTCTCGAAGTAATAGCACTGGATAAGTGAGGTTCCATTTGCACATAAGTTGTAACAACCTAAAATAAAACTTCCTCTACCCTTGTTTTAAAATCCAGATAATCTACAAGATCATAATTTCCAGGGAGCCTTTCCCGTGTCTGAATTCACATTCATTCACATAACCTAAACTCCACAGACAAGTCCCTTCCCATGAAATTGCTCACTTCTTGCAAAGTGTGGAAGCAAGATGAAAGCACTGTGAGCACAGAGGAGTCTCAGCTACGGAGTAAACCACCGTTAAAGCCACACAAGAGCAGAGGCGACAACCAGTGAACCTGTAACTGGGAGAGTTAAACTCTCCAAGTCTCCTCTGTTCATCACTATCAAACCTGCATAAGAATAACTAATGATCAACTCTTTCAAGTACATGCTTTGAAATTCATTCGGTTAAGCATGCTGTTGGAGAGGGTGAACAACATGCATGAATTGGTCAGATTTTACACTTAGTAGATGAATGTTATGAAATACACATGCATACACTCAAGCACGTACACGTACAAAATGATCTGCATGGAATCCTACAACTGGGTCATCTGTGGAGTCACTGCAGATTAAGAAGTAATCACGAAGTTGAAAGTGAAATAACAGAACTTATCTAAAAAGAATGAACGTTAGGAAAATGGAATGTATAAAAGTATAAAGTAACATAAAACAGTAACGGCACAAAAAGACGTGAGGATGTAAATGTCAATGGTCTTTTAACAATAAAAGAGTTAAGAATCCATTGGTCAAGCAGCTCAAAGGATCCTGGGAAGCGTAGGTATGAAGGACGCAGGAGTCTATGCAGAAACAGAAGTGACAAATGTGATAACATAGAAGAAAATCTGGCTTGGGCCAGGCATTTAGCTCAGTGGTTCCAGCACCTGCCTCGCAAGCGCAAGGATCCAAGTTCGATCCCTGGTATCAAATAAATAAATAAAATTTGGGCCGGGGATTTAGCTCACTGGTTCCACCGCCTGCCTTGCAAGCGCAAGGACCTGAGTTTGATCCCTGGTACTAAAAAAAAAAAAAAAAAAAAAAAAAA